TGAGTCATCTTTGCTTTTGGCTGAGCTTTCTTTATTCTTTTCGGCTTCGCAGGTTGCTGGGATTACGCTGGTGGAGCGTCAACGGTTGATGGGATGCTGGCCAGGAGATCTTTTGCAACAGCTTTTTGACGGCCCATCTCAATAGAAAAACGGTTCGTCGCCGGCGTTGTCGTTGGAATATCGGGATCAAGTATGGAGCCGAGGTTGACGGCTATTCAACTGGATCAGAGGTTGATCCTTGGTTTGTCCGAGATGTGGATGCGACTTGTAAAGTTGTGGCAAAAGGTGGAGAAAGGCTTTTCCTCTTCTTTTTTGGGACGTCGGAACGCAGATTCATAGGCCCTTGCTTTAAACATGTGAATCCAAACTTACTTTCATTCAGGATGCACTGCTATAGGTTAATCTTGTCCAATTGTAGTTTCAATAAGATTTCTAGTTCTATCACCACTGATACCATCACCATCACACTACCACTTCCACTAGAATGCCATCAAGACTACTTTCAGACCACCACAATGCTAGGCAGACACAATAACTGTTTTTCTTCAGCTGGTTGTTTGAAAAAATAATTTTTTGTAAAAAAACAAAAAAAAAAATTAAAAAATTAACATTTATATCATTTAATGGTGCCAAAAGCATAAAAATCTCGAGTCACAAAACAAACATTCAATTAACTGTCTCCAGCTTTAGAAAATAGTGTTATACATATATATAGAGAGATATAGATATATAGACGAAGAAGACACTCTCAATAAAATAAAAATTTCGCAACAAGACATAACCACTGTGGAATGAATTTAGAGTCAAACAATTAAAAAACATTCATAAAAATTTCAAAAAACTACATAAGACTACAATTGACTACAATATGAGAGGTCAACAAGTGCACGGTTTTTTATTTTTATGTTTTTTATTGTCAAATGAGTATTAAACAAGTAACTATCAAAAGCAATTTGAATGAATACAGATAAATACAAAGGAGTACATATATAGATATGTACATGTATATGTATGTGAAGAGAGAGAGAGAGAGAGAGAGAGAGAGAGAGAGATTGAAAACACATTGCTTATTGTTCGAATGAATTTGTCTCAGTTGATCAATGTAAGTACCTTCTATAAACCTGCATGAGTTGTAGATACTTCCAGCTCTAAATTTCATAAAATCAGATTGTAGAGCTGCAAAAAATTTGTCTCAAACTTATATATATCTGCAAAAAAATTGAAGAAGACGAAGAATAAATGATTGAAGATCTCAGAATATGTGTATATATATGTGTGTGTTTGTGTTTGTGCGAAGCTAAAAAAATGATAGAAAATCTCAAAAAATTGTGTGTGAAGATGAAGATCTCAGTAGCCATGAAAATCATTGATTTACCTTCGGATTGGAGCCATGAAAATGAGATCGATCATGACAAGTTAGGGCAAGAGGAGGAGAGAACAGAGTTGACAAGTTAGGGCAAGAGGAGTCTGGTATAAGGTCGATCGATTCTGAAAGGTGACGGTCTGGTTGGGTTCAGTACAGAGATCGATCAATCGATCGATCGATTCAATCTGGTTGGGATCGATTGATCCTGAAAGGTGAAGGTCGATTGAAGCTGAAGATCAGTACAAAGATCGATTCTGATATGAGGTGAAAATCGATTCTGATAAGAGGCGACACAAGGATTGATCCGGATTGAAGATGAACATCGATCGACGCCGATTTTGTTATGAGGTGAAGATGATTGAAGTTGAAGATGATTCTGATAAGAAGCAGAAGATCGATTGAAGTTGAAGACAAAGCTGAGATCAATTGACACACGCAAGAGGATGATTTTATTTGGTCCGTTCAACCTTTAGAAACCAAATAAATTGGTCTCCAGCTTTTACCTACCTCACACACGCGGTGGTCACAGACTGTGTGTATGAGAGAGAGAACAAAAGGAGGTGTAAACTTAAACAGGGCGCCAATATTAAACAGGGCGCTAAATTTGAAATGTCAAATATTTTAGTTCTTTTGGCAACCAAAACTATTTAGTCGCTAAAAATAAATGTTTGGTGACTAAATTTCTAATCGCCAAAGATAAAAAAATAAATTTTTATGTTTTATTCGGCGACAACATATTTTAGTAACCAAAATTAACTATATAGCAATTAAAATATTTATTTGTTGCTGAAAATAATTTTGTGGCTACCAAACTTTTGGTCGCCAAGTATTGAAAGTAAATTTTTATTTTTCATTCAACGACTAAATAATTTTAGTAGCAAAAAATAACTCTATGATGACTAAAAGATATTTTAATTCCCGCCTCCACGTTTCAAATTTCCCTCCCAAACTTTTGGAGACCAAAAGACCAGATTAGTCGTAGAAAAGGTACCTTCGCCGACAAACTGTTTTAGTTGCCAAATCTCAATCAACGGGACTAAAATATTAGTCGCTAAAAGTACTAATTTGGCGACTAAATTTTTTTTGGTTGCTGAAAATAAGTTTTTGGCGACCAAAGTTTTGGTCGCCAAAGAAAAAAAAAATTATTTTTCATTTGGCGACTAAATTGTTTTAGTAGGATGTCGACTAAATTATTTTTCATTTGGTGACTAAATTGTTTTAGCCAAAACTCAATATACGCCGACAAACTAGATGTTCGATCCTCGTCAACTGATATTCACTGGAGAGAGATGAGAGAGATGGAGAGAAAGAGGGGGGTAGGATGTCGACTATGATAGACCGATCGACAACGAGAAGAGAGAAAGTGAAGGGGATCGGCGACGAGAAAAGACCCCTAGTGATAGTCCCTTTTTCATCGAAGAGAATAATGGAGAGAGAGAGAGACTCTCACCGTCGTTGATGAGAGAGAGTGAGGGGGTCGGTGATGAGAAGCTTCTGGATTGGGAGAGCACAAATGAAGGAGAGATGAGAGAATGAAAAGGATGGAGAGAGAGAGAGAGAGAGAGAGAGACCAAGTGGTCTGATGATCCCAAAAAAAATAATTTTTAAGTAATTATTTTTTTCAAACAATAATCTTAAGTGATTTTTATTTTTTTAATGGTGGAGTGAATTATATATATATATATATATATATTTTAATTTTAAATTTTTGTTTAGTTAGGTATAATATAAATATTTAATTCTTTTTATAAAAAAAAATTTAAAACTCAAAAAAAAAAAAAAAGAGTGACGTCATTTAACAAAATAGAGAAGACGGAATGGAAATAGTGAGCAACGCCAACATAGTGGGAGAGAGAGAGAGAGAGAGAGAGAGAGAGAAAGAGAAGAGAGAGAGAGAGAGGGACAAAAAGATAAAGAGATAGAGAGTGAGAGACAGAAAAAGAGACAAAGAGAGAAGAGAGATGAACGAGAGAGACAAAAAGAGAGATAGAGAGAAGAGAGATGAACGAGAGAGACATAGAGAGAAGATGGATAAACGAGAGAGAGAGATAGAGAGAAGATAGATGAGCGAGAGAGACAAAGAGAGATGAGTGAAGAGACAGGGAGAGAAAAGAGATGAGAGAAGAGATAGATGAGTGAGAGACACAGAGAGAAAGAGAGAGACAGATAGACATAAAGAAAAGAGTGATGAGTGAGAGAGAGAAAGAGAAGAGAGAGAGGAAGATGAAAAAATGGGTGAAAAGATATAGACAAAGAGAGAGTGAGAGAAAAAAAGAGCGAAAAGAGATAAACGAGAGAAAGACAGAGAGAGATGAGCGAGAGAGATAAAGAGAAGAGAGATAGAGAAGAGAGACAGAGAGAAATAGACAGAGAGAAAGAGAGAGAGAGAGAGAGAGAGAGAGAGAGACAGACAGACAGACAGAGAAGAGTGATGAGAGTGAGAGAGAGAGAGAGAGAGAGAAGAGAGACAGAGAGATAGAAAGATGAAAAAATGGGTGAAAAAGTTCCGTGTCTAAAGCCTCATTTTCTAGTAGTGAGTCATCTCTATCATTCATGGGTAGAATAGAGGCGCGGATTTGGGAATTGCATATTTTATATAAAAATCAAATTGAAATATTTTATACAATCACACCTATTTAAGGAGTGTGATTAAAAAGTAGTAATATATATATAATCACACTTTAATTAAAATGTGTGATTAAAAAATATATATATAATCACACTTACTTAAAAAGTGTGATTAAAAAGTAGTAGTGTATATATAATCACACTTTAATTAGAATGTGTGATTAAAAAATATATATATAATATTAGGCATGCTTGGCATTTACCAAGGCGTGAGCAGTTGGATCTCTAAAAGAGGAAGTTCGTTGCCCACTGCTAAGTGACCTCATAGGATTTCTTTTATTTGATGTCAGTCATGTTTTGAGAATTTGTCACTTCTTCTTCTTATTCTTCTTCTTCTTCCTTTTTTTTTTTTTTATATATAATTTATAAAAATAATTTAGGATAAATTATACTTGAATCTCACTTTAATTCCTCACCTTTTAATTTTAATAATTGAGTCCTTAGACTCTGACATGAGTTTCAATAAAATTTTTCTATCATCAAACCGTTTATAATTTAAATAAAAATTAAAATATGAACTACTGAAATAAAATTTGAGTGAAAATTAGTGGTGTAAAGAAAAATCAATTAGTCTACTTTTTCAAGAATATTAAAGAAAAATTTAGCAGTGTAAACATGAGCGACTAGATTTTTTCTTTTAAAAAAAATCATGCGAGCACATTTCAAGAGTATTAAAGAAAAATCAATAAGTCCTACTTTTTTCAATGAAAATTTTATTTGGTCTTGTTAACACCTGTATCAATCCTCTCAACTTGTGTTAATTCATGTGCTTGAGAGGGTTGATTAATGTGGGTACTCAATATAAATTTTCTTGAAAAAATAGGACTTGATATTTTTCCTTAAAAAAATTCAATTATCTAAAGGTCTAAAAAAAAATCTTTATTGACTAAGGCCCCCTAGTAGTGAAGGTTGTAAATAAATTGACAAAGTTTATTTCTAAAAATAGAAAAATAAACTGTACAAAAAAATAATTCGAATATAAAAAAGTCTCTTAATAAAAGTGGCTACAAAACAACATTTAATCCTCAATTCCCACCCAAAATCTCCATGACTTCAACCAAATCACCCAAGCCTTGGAAAAAGTCATCATGTTCAAACATCACCATCTCTTTGTTTTCAACTCTCAATTGATTACTCTCTAAAAATTCTCCTTCCAACAAAAGGCTCCTCCAAAATGATGTTGTGTCATCTACTTCTTCTTCATCATCTTCCCATTCCCTCTCGGTTTTTCGATCTGATGATGATTGAAAATCTCCTTGTGATGGCTCCAAGTCCTTCGCTGAATTAGTGCCATTGTTATGGGTCTTTAAGCTAATTGTGTTTTTGCTCTCTGATGGTATCTTCTTGCTCAAGTAAGAGTTCCAATAATTTTTAATGTCATTTGCTGTTCTTCCTGGAATTCTTCCTGCAATTAGAGACCATCTGCACCAAAAAAAACAAAAAAAGAAAAAAAGAGAGAAATATATAAACTGACATTAATTTATCTAATAATACAAGATTGATGATTGATGTGAAACATACCTAATAGTTGCCCTATTGGTACATTTTTATTTATTTTTAAATGAAAAGAGATATAAAAAGAGCACTAGTAAGTCCTAAAATTAGACTTTTGACTTTAACACAATTTTTTATTTTTTTAATAACCCCTAACATAGTGATTTGGTGTGCCAATTATTAACAAAAGTTGCTCTCAAGATGCATTGAGAAAAAAATTAATGACCAAACAAAAGATTGTCATTAGTAGTCATGATAAATGTGTTAAACGAATATTGATTGAGATACACATAAATTAATTTGAACATTTGATTATTAAAAAATAATATATTTGTATGTGAACGTGACATATAGGTATTAGGTATATAACATCTTAAAACTGTAACTTATAAAAATTTTAATTTAGAATCGCATTATAATTTTAATTTAGAATCATATGACAAGTTTTGATTTTATCGTCCTGAAATAAAAGCGTTGTAAGGTGATTTAAATTTTCAAAAATGTATTTTCATGCTATTTGTATAAAAGTTAGATAAGAATAGATTTTACTTTTAGAAAATGTTAGGAACACTTTTTTACAAATGTCAGTCATAAGATTTAGATAAATCAGATTGAAATAATGGAGATATCTACAAAGACTTATAATGAATTAATCTATTGAAAATGTTAACAACCACCCTTGAAAATGTTATTAATACATCACTTGCTCTCACAAGGATGCCTAGAGTATTTTGCTCCCTCTCTCTCCCTCTGTGTGAGAAGAGAGGATATACCTAAATGAAAGTGGCTTTGGTCTAGTCCAAGATCGGATTGAACTATGTTGTTGGGTTCGTGGGGGCCTACCACGGGTTCCGTTTTGATAATTCGAACCGTTCAATGTATAGAAATCGTCGAGTGTTATATGCCTGTAAAAAATCACGTTGATCGGATATCGATAGCTATGTGAACACAACAGTTTTTTATCAACTGTTAATTTTTTCACCGTCTATTTTTTTTATACAAAACTGATTTGATCACATAACTATTGATATCTGATCAACGTGATTTTTTACAGACATGTAGTACTCGACGAGTTCTACACATTCGACGGTTCGGATTATCAAAACGGGTCCAAAAAATGAGCCCTATAGGCTGAACTGGACGGATCCAGTCTTGATCTCAACTTGAAATGTAAATATATATTATACTTGCCTGTTGCCCAAGACTCTATGGAGTCTGATGATGAGATCATCTTCGTCAACAGCGAAATGTCCTCGCTTGATGTTGGGTCGAAGATAGTTCAACCATCTTAATCTACAACTCTTTCGACAACGATTCAGTCCTGCCCAAAGTCAAAACCAATGTCTTCAACATTTTTAACCCCCCAAAATAAAAACAAAAACAAAAACAAAAAATGAAAGAACCTTAAACAAGAAACACCAAAAGATGGAAATTGAAAGCATTTCAAGCATTTCTTGCTTGCCTGATTTGCTTGGAATGTGCTTCCAATTTCCTTGCCCATACTCGTCAACATATTTTCTGAGCAAGTTGTCTTCTTCCTCAGTCCAAGAGCCCTTCCTAAGACCATGTGGACTACCCATTTCATTTGTTTTGCTTTTCCACATACACATGCATGCGCTACTTTTATATAAATCTAGGGTGAGGTTTTTCTCCGGTGTATTGTATGGATTAGAATATAATGTTAGATTTTTGTCACGGGTCTTATTTTGATAATTTGAACTGTTCAATATATAGAATTCGTTTTCATGCCTGTAAAAAATCATATTAATTGGATATTGATAATGTAAGGCCCCGGTGTCCCACATCGGGAATGGAGGGGGAGTTCCTGGGCTATAAAAGTAAAAACCTGGACCCTTATATAGCATCGAGGCCTTTTCTCGGGTGGTGAAATCCCTATTAGAACTCCTCAGTTAAGCGTGCTTAAGCTGGAGTAGTTCTAGGATGGGTGACCCACACTGGGAAGAACAAATCCGTACGGGCGTGACCTAAAGCGGACAATATCGATGACGTGTAAAGGGTCGGGGCGTTACAGATAAGCCCTTGATCAGAACATATTTTTATTAATAATTTATTTTTAAAATTATATTTACCATTGACAAAAATGTATTCCGATCAAGAGACTACTGAATATTCAATCAATGTAATTTTTTACAAACATAAAGTACTTAGCAAGTTTTACACATTTAACGATTCAGAGTATTGAAATGGAGTTTGTGATGCGGCTCATAGGCCCAACAGTACACTCAAGTACACAAGCATCTCCCATAAATCTATAGGCTCATTGTACAATACACACAATAATTGAAAATTATTAATTAAGTAGTCTCGAAATATCATATAACATTATTTATAAATAGTTCTCGATAAATGAAAAATTGCAAGTAATGGGTACACTCCTCATATCAATAATGATGGTTCGAGTACCAACGAAGGTTGGCCTGAGTGGAAGGACCTCTGATCACTTAAAAAAAATGGTCTTAGGTTCGAACCCTTATGGATGCAGCAAACCTTCTTCGGAGCCTTGGCGCCTGACCGTACCTCGGAGGATTAGTCCTAGGCAAACCTGAGGATAACTTGGGAAACCAAAAAAATAAAAATAAAAATAAAAATAAAAAAGAAATGATGGTTCGAGTATTCTCTAGATTGATATAAAGGTAACGTATAAGTAGAGTGGAACCAAAAAGTCCTCAATAATATAGGTTCTCGGTTATTAAAAAACTATGAAACACTTTAGGGGAGTCGTATGTTATTTCTAATTATTTAATAAATATGAGCCAACATATTATCTTACCTGTAAAGTTTTTAACCATGCTACTGGTTAGAAGCACCATTCATGCAATGTTAAGCAATACCGGAGACAATTGAATACTTACCCACCCTACCATATACAAGTCATAATCTAAATTAATTTTTGATATGAAGATTTGTGTAGTTATGGCAACTACGATAATTTTAATTATGATTACTAACTCAAATTTATTTATTTATTTTCAATAATGTTACATCTTCATAATTTGTCATTTTTAAAACATCTCTTAATGATATAATATTGAGATTAGACATTACATGATAGAATGTTTGACAAATCAAAATTTGACATTTATCAGACACATCATTAAGAATGGTTTTTAGAGGTGACAAATTAGGTGTTTCAAACATTTTTCTTTTACATAAGTATGTGTATATCGGCATATATATATACTAGCTTATCACCCGTGCTATGCACGGGATAATTATAGATATTTATACTTGTTTTAAATTTTTTTTAATATATAAATTATGTTTTTTAAGATTTTTTATAAAAATAATTTAACAATCTTATCATTAACCATAGTGTATGACAGAAGTTGAAAAGGGTACTGCAATAATTATACACAGATTATTTCTATAATTATTTGTATGAGGGGATTTTAAATGCTAATTAGGGAATTTTGACCAAATCAATAAATGCAAGCATGTGGAAAGACGTGTGAATTGAAAAAAGTTAATAAATGTTGATCAGGGGATTTTGACCAAATCAATAAATGTTGAGTTTTTTTTTTTAATAAAAAATTTAGAGAATTCAGATTGGGATATTAAAACTCCCACAGACTTTGGGATTAAAAACTTCATTTTGCTTAATATATATATATATATATATATATATAAAGCGCTTAGCAAGTTATCAATTTTAAGAAAGGTTAGTTGGAATCAAAACCAGTTGGTTTGGAATTATTTACTATTAGAGGCTTGTATTAGTCTTTTCAGTTTGCCCTTTTAATTTGTATTATTTACCAATGTTGGTATTACTAATTTGGATGAAAGTTTTTCCATCATTATGCAAAGATTCTTGGTCAATTATGAAACATAAATATTTTGATTTTGGATAAATTACAAATACACCCCTAAGGATCCCCCCCCTTTCTCATTTTGCCCTTTTATTTTGTATAATTTACTAATGGTAACCTCTAATTTGACTTTCCCATTTTACCCTTTGCTTTAGTAATATTTACCAATATTGGTGGTACTAATTTGAGTGAAGGGTTTTTCGTAATAATGCAAAGAGTCTTGGTCAGTTATGGCACATATCCACCCAAAAAAAAAAGAAGTTATGACACATAACTATTTTGGTTTTAGATAAATTACAAATACACCTCTGAAGTTTATTTAAAATATGAAATGTCCCTACAATACAAGAAATTACAATTATTCCTTATTAGAAATTTTAATTTAATAGAATAAACAAGGAAAATAATATGAATAAAATATAAAAATAAAATTATGAAAACCAATGGAAATTCATCTAAAATAATTTTTAAAAAATCAAACCAAACAAAATAATTTGTTATAAGATTTGCATTTTGGAAATATAAATTTATAGTTTAATTGCTAATGATCATATGGTATCACTATTAAAATTTGATTTGGTTTCATTTGTAAACAATTATTTTTAGACCCGTGCAAGGCAAATGAAATCTTATAACAAATGAAACCAAATCAAGGTTTAATGGTGATACCATACGATCATTAGCGTGTAATATTACTATTCAATTATTCCATCCTAATAAAAAATAAAAAAAAAATCCACTCATTTGAACCAAAATTTTATCTCATCTATTTATTCCATAATTGTACTTTATAACAGAAATTAAAATTTCTATCATATATTAATTTAATCATTGATTCTATTCAATTTTGCAAGAAATTAATATTGTTTTTTGAGAAAAAGTTCAAGTCGTAGAATGGAATAAAGTGCAATGGAATGAAATGATGTTTTATTTATTTTCTTATGAAATAGTTATTATTTATTTTACAATGAATTTTTTTATGATTTTTTGAATGAATCAAATATAAAATAAATGTTTTCAAAAAAAAATGTCATATTATTTCATTTCATTTAGTAAAATGTAATAAAATATTAGAGTCAGAACCCTACTAGTTTGCGCCATGCAGAGGCCTTTTTCACTAGTATGTATATATTTTTCTTTTTTTCACTCATTTGAACTTGAGAACGTGAGTTGGACCAGCACTTTTCAAAAACTAATGACACAAATTCTGAAGAGCCTGTGATGTTGGAACCAATCAAACACTACTCTCTCAAGAGGCTATAGCAGAATGAAAGTGATTCCTCATTGAGATTTAAATTGAGAAATAAACAAAATTAATGTAACCACCCTTCAAAGTCTTTAACAGTCATTCTAACAAATATTGGGTTTTGGCTCTTAGCTAACAGAAAAAATATATATACGTATCAATGCTCTCACTCTTTCTTTTTCTTTCCCTCAGTTATGCCCTTCATGTGGTGTCACATTAAAATCTTAGCACATGTTACACAAGTTCAAACCATGGTTATTATTCTATTTTGTTCATTTATTTATGGTCAAGTAGTTTTGTGGCCAACCACTATTCATGGTGCATTAGGTATTAGGCTGAGATTTTGCATAAGAAAACTACTAAATTTATAGAATTTTTATGTAAAAAAATGACATACAGAAAGAAAAGCTATACAAATTAACAACAAAAAAATAATTTGTATTAGGGTTAATTACATTTAGCAGCATTATATTTTTATCAAAATTTTGCTTTAATCCTTTTACTTTTAATTGTGACTATCAACACTATATATTTCAAATTTCAAGTTTCATCTACTGTTAATGAAACTAAAATGAATTTAGAGGTACCAAAGTGAGCTTTTGCAAAAAGTAAGAATTAAAGCGGCATTTTCATAGAAGTGTAAGAGTGCTAACTGGGAAAACATTACATATATGACTATGATGACAAGTTTCGTCAGCCTTTTTAACCAACTAAGCTAATTCAGTTGATCACTACTATACACTTTTATTTAGGAGATTATTGGATAATTCTTGCCATTTTAAAAAAAAAAATGAATATTTATCTCTTATTATGATTATTAGGGATTTTTGTTGTCGTCAGTTGTTTATTTTTTTCATTATAAATTATTTATTGTGATAATTGTTAGGCTTGTTTTATGTTGTTTGACTATAATTATCTAGTTTAGCATAATTCTCCTCATGTTTTGTAATTAATTTTCTTTCAATTGACAATAAAATAAAATAAAAAAATAAAATTATTCAACAAAATTGTTCAATGAGCTATAACTTAGAATTATGATTCAATGTGTTTAAATTACAATTGCGAGTACATTTCCATCTTAATTTTGCATGTGTACACATAAGGTACTCCTTTTAATAGGTGCACCACTCTGTTGTACCTACCTATCCCTCAAAATGGAGAGATTTATTGGAAAAATATTTGTTGGTCTAAGGGTACCACATAGCCATATCCCTGGTCATTCACAAACTATTATGGTATTTCATATTCTTGTATCACTCAATACAAAATCGTGGATCTTATCTTCTTGTAGACGTCCCCGAACGCCCCGGGAGGAACGAGCTCCCGTTCCGTTCATTTTGGGGTCACTACAGCTCAGGACTCTCAATTTGTCACGGTTCTAAATCTGAACTAAAGAGTCCAAATCCGGCAAATCGTTTTGAGAAAACAGATTTTGAAAGAAGTGCCAAACATGGACTGCTTTGCCAGATACAGAGTCGCCACCTAAATATTTTATTTTGAGAAATTT